ACTCAGAGAGGTTATTTCAAAATTTTTGAACTTAAAAGGACAAGTTGAGACAATGATTAGCTCATATGAAATTTAGCTTTAATAGTGGGTATACAGATAATAAAATGAGGATAATGTTTCATCTATCTCTCTTCACGCCTGAGAGTGATTATTGAATAAAATTCTGGGCAACCCACCTGTAAAACAATGTAAGGTATGTGTCATTGAAGTGGAGGAAGTGAATAGCCTAAGGTAGCTAAAATCGAACAAGAATGGTAAATACAAAAATAATTAACATGAGACTTAATGCAAATTTTGGCAATGACGAGGAAAACTAATAGAAAGAAGAGAAGGAATTATGTATTTTTTTTTGCTGACCCTTAGACTGCCAAACATACAGCATAATATTATTAAAATTAAATGACCAAAAAATGATTGCTATGCCAACATCAAGGAGCTGATACTTTACAACTACAGTCAGACCTAAAATACAGTTCTTAATACAGAAGGGGAATCAATTTACAGAGAGGTTCCAATGTCAATAGGGGAAGGTAGAGTCCGCCAATCTCTTGGTAGTTGGACATATCAAACCACATTCTATGAATTCAAGTACCTGTTTTCTTCTGACTAAAGGAACAGGACTGTTCTTCGTAAGATAAGTGTGTTCTAAGGACGTTATCGTACAAGTATACACAATTTCTCCAGGTTTGAAATGTATTCATTTGAAATGAATTCAATTGTTGAAAATTTTATTTTCCATGCCCTTATTTAAGACAAATGTTACATGATTCGATTTCTTTTGCCACTTCTCAAAACATCCCCCTTCCTACATCTCTTTTACGATTATCTGTTTCAAATTCACATGCACAATAATTAATTATACATTTAAAAAGAGAAAGGACTGTAGACGTTCAGCAGGCCTGGCAGCAACTGTGCAGAATTAAACTAAGTGAACATTTTGATTCAGATGTGAATAGAAAAATTCTGGAAAATATTGTCCTTTATACTGTTCACAAAGAGGAAGGAGGCACCATAAGACCATAAGGTGGAGGAATAGAATTAGGCCATTGAGCCCACTGAGTTTGCCTCTACAATTACATCACGGCTGGTGCATTTCTCAAACTCATTCTCCTGCTTTTTCCATGCAAACCTTGATCCCCGAACCAAACAAGAGCCTACCTATTTCCGTCATAAATACACTCAATGACTTGGATTCCAATGTGACATTGGATTCTGTGGCAATGAATTCCACAGAGTAACCACCCTCTGGTTGAAGAAATTTCTCCACACCTCAGTTCTAAAGGCTGGTGTCTTCACTCTCAGGCTGTGCTCTCAGGTCCTTGTCTCTCCTCCTGGTGGATCACCTCCTCTACATCCACACTATCCAGGCCTCTCAGCATTCAGTAAGTTTAAATGAGATCCCCCCATCCTTGTAAACACCTTCAACTACAGGCCCAAAATTCTGAACCACTCCTCAAATGACAAGCCCTTCACCCCTAGGGTTATTTTTGTGTAACTCCTGTGGGCCCCCTCCAAGCCCATAACATCCTTCCTGTTGGACAGGAGCCAAAGCGCTCACAATATTTCAAATGTGGTCTGACCAGAGCCTTACACAGACACAAATACGTATCTCTGCTCTTTTTTCTTTGCTGACTTGAATTCTCTTTATTGTCATGTGCTGTTAAATGAGTGCAGTGAAAAGTTTGGACTGCTGCCAGTTAATGTGCATCTTCAGTTCCAATTACCTAGGAACACATACTTAAACATTTGGTGTAAAATAGAAAAAAAATCAAATGGAATGTCCATCATAAAAATAAACGTTTTATTAACAGTCCTCAATTCACATACCTTCCACCCCAGTCGATCGGTTCTTGCAAGACCAAGTCGCCAGACCATGCCATGTTTCAAAACTTGAGGTTATGCTACAATCCACAAAGGGCCTCGCATCCCCAGGATGGTTTCCAGTCTGGGACTCACCTCCACATGACAGCCCTGCAATCTTGGAGTCACCTCCCAAGTTTAGGCTCTAGCCCAGTAGTCAGCTCTCCGTTACAGTCCTTAACTCCAGGAATCAGCTTCCCGCGACAGTCCTCCAGTCTGGCAGTTGGCTCCCATGGCGGCTTCCAGTCCGGGACTCTCCTCCCTGGGACAGCCCCCAGTCTGACAGCTGGCTTGCCACGACAACATCCAGTCTGGGTGTTGACTCCTTAATTATGATCTAAGTAATTTTAAAATATTTTGTAAAAGTTAAAAGGTTTATTTCTTTTTTAAGAAAGACAAACAAAAAAGAAAGACAACTGATAGTTGGAGTGAATGATGTCCAGCACAGGAGCACAACTCAGTTAATATTTTGAATACCTCTTGTTTCTAGCCTTTTCAAAATTAGTGCTAACATTGCCTTTACCTTCCAAACTACCAAATGAAAATTCATGTTAAGTTCAAGAGAATACTGAACTAGGACATCAATGTAATAGACAGTGAATGTGATGTGAGAAAAAAAGAAATTGGTACTAATGATCCTTGATGATTGGCAAAAATTTGACCAGGTATGGAAACCTGCCTTGTGGCACATAAGTAATAAAGGAAGTGCAGGACCAGAGGGATCTGGGTGTATAGGAGCACAAATCATTGACAGTGCAGGACAGGCCCACAGAGCAGGAAGTAAAGCGTACAGAGTTTTCAGCTGTATTACTAGTGACACAGTGTACAAGAATAAGGAGTTGATATTAAAATTGTACTAGAAACTTTTTTGACTTCAGGTGCAGTACTATTTACATTATAGGAAAGAAATAAAAGCATTGGATAGAGAGAGCACAGAAGCGATTTACAAGAATGGTGCCAGGGATGAGGATTTTCAGTGATGAGGACGGACTGAAGAAGTTGAGACTGTTCTCCATGGAGTGAAGATGGTTGACGGGAGATATGATAGTGGTTTTCAAAACCATGAGTGGGCTGGAAATAAGAAATGGAAATAAATTGTTCCCACTGTGTTAAAAAAAAGTAAAAGACCAAGGAGGCAGATATTTAAAGTGACCAGCAAGATTAACAAGGAAGAAATGAGGAACAAAACATCTGTCTGTGAGTTGTCACAGCATGGAATGCACTGCCCGTAAATGTTTTAGAGGCAAGTTCAACTAAGGCATTAACTAGGCCGCGGGATAAATGTTTGAGCGAGGAAAAGCAAAGCACAAGGCTATGGGGCTATAGAAGGAGAATGGCACTCCATAATGATATTTGCATAATGGAACAGTGCCAACATGATGAGCCAAATAGCCTCCTTCAGTGCATAAGAATTCCACGATTTTGTAAAGATCATGGCAGCATTGGTTTCGAGAAGGAGACTTTTGAATTAACAAACTAACAAGTCAAAAAATAGTACAGACCTATGGGTTAGAGTTGGGTTCCGAGGTCTACTAAACATGCTAGAAAACAGATGCATTCTCTGAAGTTGTTAAAGTCAGTGTTGAGGCCTGAATGCTATAAGCTGCTTCAGCAGAAGCTCAGGTTTTTCTTCAGATACAGGTCTAAGCAGGAAACGAGATGTTGTTCCCCCAACTTGCAATGAGCTCACGTAGACATGTTGCACTGAGTAAACAAGCTTTTTGTTATCCACATTTGAAGACGTTTATTAATGACGTCTAGCCATTCACACAGTTACAATTGATGACTGCCTGAACCTTGTGTACAAATCCTGAATGTAAAAAGTGAGCATCTGTCATCTCACAATCAATATCATTTCACTACGTGTGCATTCCTGACCCCTTTTTTTAAATTAACTGTTATGTCCTTTTTTAGAGGATTTGATGATTTTTCATCACCTTGTCTTATTCTGTGTGGTATTTTGCTTTGCAGCTGTGAACTTCAAGCTGAGAGCTGAAGGGTGACCGTTAGAATAAGTGCAGCAGTTTGTCTATTTAAATAAGAAGAGGATAAACAAAGCTTCTATTGCTTTTTACGACCACGTCTGAAAGTTAATTACAGATTATTCTTTGATGGAAAGTGGTCAATAAATGCTCCTACTCCCGTTGGAACTGAGGTTAAAACAGATTGAGGGTATTGAATGATAACCGGGGCCTCACGGAGAGATGGCCAGACTGGTAGGGAAAGGTTAAAGGTTGATCTGGTTTTTGGTCTCTGTTTGTAATGAAAAGCTTCAGGACAGAGGTTTTATTGCTCTCTACCTGCCCTCTGATCTTCAACATATTGAAAGCTTAGAGAATAGAATGTCAGTTTTAAGATTCAGAATCATTTTCCTCGGAGCCTACTGGAAGTTGTCTGCATGCATCAGTGTCATCATAAAACAAGCAAGATACAAGCCCGTGTGCCTGTGATGTTGTAGATCGTAGCAACAGCGTAAGTAAACTGTCCGATTACATCTCTTTTTTTCCATATGATTTATTGCTTTACTGCATCTATTTGTTTGTCTATCTTTCGTGAGAGTTAAAGAGTGTTGAACGAAATCATATGCATTAGTTCAAATAATTTGTTGCTTAAGCTTGCTCTCCTAACGTTATTCTATTCAGAATAAATTGCCAAGCCGTTTTTCGAGCTTTAAAAATGGAATCTGATCTTGGTTATTTATAAAAAAAAAACTGGCACTGGTTATTTGAAAGAAAAAGTCCAGTTAGAAAGCATTGGAGTCAATTTTAATGATCATTGGATATTTTAATTCTATTGCACAGTGAATACATGATTTTACTGTCAGTCTCAATATCATAACGTCTGTAACCTATTGGGAACACACCTGCTTTTGGACACTTTGGTCCATGTATTCGTTGAAAGCACTAAACAAAAGGGTGACGTAAATAAGCCGACTTTAGTCGCTCTGTGCTGATTACTGAGTACTTCGTTATTCCAAAATGCAATTTCCAACACTTGGGTATGCATATTAATTTTTTTTTTAAATACACAAAAGTCTCAGTAGCAAAGTTGTTGTGTATTTTGTTATAAAACTTGCAGATTTTTGATTTATGATTGATCCCATTTTAAAACTGTTGCTCACTTCACTTACAGCAAACCTGATGACAATAATAATTCTCTCCAAGAGAAACTGCGGCCTTTCTGAATGCACCTCTGCCTACATGGTGGCCATGGCAACTGCAGCTCTTCTCGTCATGATCTTCAGTGTAATTGGGTATCACGTTTTGGGTTTTCACTTGACACATTCCTTCTTCTCCTACACTGGCGTTTGTATGCTACTTAATTACATGAATGTAACCAGCCTGTTAATGGCTGTGTGGTTCACAGTCTTATTCACATTTGATCGATATGTAGCTATATGTTGTGACAGGCTGAAAACAAAGTATTGCCGAGTGAGGACAACGGCTACAGTTGTAATTATCACCACTGCCCTGGTTTTCCTAGAGAGCATACCCTTTTGGTTTGCATATGAACCAGAAGAAGTAATCGGTCATGTTCAGTGGGGTTGTCGCGCTAAATTGAACTTCTTCACTTCGTCACTGGGTGTAGCATTCTCCTGGTTACACAGTAGTTTAGTTCCTTGGATTCCATTTTCCTTGATATTCTTATTTAATTGTTTCACCATCAGACGTATAATAGTCGCTAATAGAGCTCGCAGGTCAATTCGAGGACGTAATAGTGACTGTCAAAGAGACCCAGAGATGGAGAGTCGAAGGAAATCCATAATTTTACTCTTCACTATTTCTGGCAGTTTTATTCTGCTGTGGATGACAGCAGCTGTCAGTTTTTTATCCACTAGAATAACAAACACCACACATTATCGAGGTGATTATACAGCTCCTGCCTATATTGCCACTGAAACTGGCTACATGCTGATGTATTTGAGTTCATGCACAAATGTGTGCATTTATGCAGCCACACAAAGTAAATTCAGGCAAGAGCTGAAAAAATTGGTGACATTTGGGGCAGCATGGTGGCACAGTGGTTAGCACTGCTGCCTTACAGTGGCAGTGCCCTAGGTTGAATTCACTCTCGGGTGACTGTCTGTGTGGAGTTTGCACATTCTCTCTGTGCCTGGGTTGGTTTCCTCCAGTTTCCTCCCGTAGTACAAAGATGTGCAGGTTAGGTGGATTGGCCGTGCTAAATTGCCCATAGGAATGTGTAGATTAGGGAGTTGGATCTGGGTGGGATGCTGTTTGGATCGGTGTGAACTTGTTGGGACGAAGGGCCTGTTTCCACACTGCAGAGATTCTATGATCTCTTTGGTGAAATTTCTAATATCAGTTAACCGAAAGGAAAAGTGAAAAAAAACAACTTACTTGTTTTCCCCGCTTCAGAAAGTTGAAATGTGCACAATTAAGTCTATTAAAGTTTGGTTTCTTCAATTGTACAACTATAAGTAGAGGTGATGGCCAATTGGTCTTACTGCTAGAATTCAGAGACCCTGCTGATGTACTGGGAACCTGGATTCTGGCAGACTGTGGGATTTCCTTTCAATAAATATATGTAATCAGAAGTCTAAAGATTTCAGGTACACCATCATTGATTGTCAGAAAACGAAAAATGGCTCTCTAACATCCTTTCGGGAATAAAACTGCTCTCATTACCTTTTCTGGACTTCATGTGACTCCAGACACACAGCAATGTGGTTGACACTTAACTGTCTACTGGAAAATTATGAATTGTTCGTAATTGCGGGACTGGACAGTGACTTCCGCATCCCCCAAAATAAATAAAAGACTGAAATCTGACACGCTAATAAATAATAATGACAAATTTTCATTTATATGCTATGTTTCATGAATAATGTTATATGTCATGCAGACATGCAGGTGGAAGATTCTACACCAATAAACTCAGGCTCTCTAATGTTCAGATCGGGAATGAATACTTTTTATTAGATTGCTCTGGCAAAATGCATGGTGTAGGGATATCCAAGTAGGTCCAAACGTGACAAGTTCACGAGGCAGTCCACATGTGTTATGCACAAAGACGTTATCTGATGGTCAGCATTGCTGCAAGTGAAAAACCACAAAAGATGAACATGCCTATGACAGCTGTAAATAATAAATCAGAAATAAAGATCTGTGCCGCAGAACAGAGCAGAATGTTGGTGAGATATTGCTCTCCAGATTATCTAAATACACTTGGTCGGCGTGGACTGTTTGGACAGAAGTGTCTGTTTCCTCGATGAATAACTCTACGACAGCTTGTGCATCTGACTGCACAGAGCACACATCTTCCAGATTTAGACAACAAGCAGTAGCCATATTCCCCTGTTCAGGAAACAAGCCGTGCTTTCAACGTTGTTGAATGATGTGAATGCACAGAGCACAAAATTCTAAGTTAATGGAAATCAAGTAGATTACAATGCCAAAATTCAATTACTCACAGCACTCCACATTCCTAGGTAATGTGCATCGATGTTATCATAGAATGAATTTGTAAAGATAAGGAAAGTTGTTGGTGTTTTGTTGTTGTGCGACTGAGCGGCTATCCAATCCCGAAAATTAAATTTATAACTAATTTTAGATTACCAGTGAATCTTGCAATGTGACCGTTTCTTCTTGCTAGAAGCTGTAAAAACATGGCTATCTCGTCAGCAGGAAAATTAAGATGTCCATTCTTTGATTATTGTGGTGTCACCAAAAGAATGTGGGGCTTTAGTTTCCATTTGCATTCTCCACGGTAATGTATGAACCATGCAGAGACTGCAAATGATCAGCAGTATTTTCAAAGTACTAAGTGAAAGGTTATGGTCCAGTATTATTATCTCTAGATTACTAATACAAGCACCCACGTAATGTTCTGGTGGGCCCATTTTCAAATCCCACCATGGCTCGATCCGTTCTTTAGCTTTATTGAGAGGTAAAGAGTAGCAAAGGATGCGCAGAGAATGAAAAAAATTAAATAGGAAGGGATCGCTGAGGGAGTTATAATTAGACTGTTTCTCCTGTCTATCCCAAACATCAGTTCGATAACCATACGTGGATATTTACCTAAACTTATGAATCCGTTATGCATACCCCCGGCAAAAAATGATAAATGTTACCATAAGAAGCAGACATTGTAAAAGCTGTTCACTGCACTCCTACAATGGAGTACGCGTGGCAATAAAAATATATTGTATATTGTGTTGTATCATCTTGGGGCGTTAGATTACCAGCTCAGTAAATTACCATCGCATCAGCACCTCCTCTCTCCTGTAGGTTGTCATCTTGATGGATCAAGTATTGTGACATTATTATTATGAAACATTACAACTGTAAGAAATTTCATGTCAAGGAAGATCCATCCTTGCTTCTTTCCCAGCTAAATACTATAAGCCATAACAGAACAAATCAATCAAACTCGTCTGTCTTATCTGGTCATGTTTTAAACTCCCGTTGAAAGGCGAATAATAGCAAAACAAATAATTGGTTTATTCAACAAATCCATCCATCTCCGCACACTATTCAACAACATTAATATAATTTAGGACTAAGTCAAAAGTCATATGACACCAATATATATATTCCGAGCCTGTGCGTCACCCTCCAATTCACACGACAAAGGAGCACAAAGTGCTCAAAACACTTGTGATTTTAAATACATCTGTTGGACTATAAGCTGTTGTCTATGATTTTTGTCTTTGTCCACGCCAGTCCAACACTGGCATCTCCACATCATTTAGGACTCTGAACGTTTAACAATGCCAACCTAAATATTCTTCACTTCCACCTCAGTAACTGTAAAGGATTGTGCTGCTGACTCATCTCATCGGTCTTTGTATTACCGATATAACTCTCTATAAGAGCACTCCAGTGCTGTGCTGTTTCTCCAATTTTCCTTTTTAAATAAATTTAGTTTTTTTTTAATAAGTCTGCTGAAAATTGTATGATTCACAAGAGATTCCAGTATCAATCACCTTCCTCTTCCCTCATAGTTTCCCCACTGTGATGCTTTTGGGTTATGGATCAACTCATAATCGTCAGTTTTTGCCACTGCCTGTCCGGGACTTGCAAACCTTTAGTCTTAAACATGGAACTTTGATTTTCAATAATGAAAGAGGATGGTTCACCTTGTGGAAAAGTTTTCTTTTATTCACTTGTGGAACCTGGGCGTCCTTGTTTGGCCAGGATGTTTTGAACATTATTAGTTGCCCTTGAGAAGGTGGTGGTGAGTTGCCTCCTAAAGCCACTGCAGTGTAGACCGTAGAGATTAATTCACCTCCTGCCTAATGGAAAGCCAACAATACAAGGCAAACACTCTGTGGTTGCTTCTGCAGTGTTGAATAAAGGTTTGCAATCAGTTTTTCAAGCATTGAGACTACCTGCAACAGCGTCTACTGAGTGCAACAGTTCCATCATTATTGTACACCTTTTGTCCTGCCTGCATATTCTGTCGTTCGAATTCCAAACATATCAGCACACATTGACACAGTCTCCAGTCTAAGTTACATGTGTAAATGCACTCAATCCAGCAGACAATTAATAATCCCATTTCGTGGTTTCTGCTGGGACAATGCGGTGCACTCCTGATCTGCTTTATGAAAAGCTTATATTCTCCTGCTTCTTCTCATTCCCAGCTCATCCTTCATGATTCTGGAGGCTTTTTGGAAGATCTCCGCTGTCCCTAGCCTTTGTGAAGTGCACAGTCCTTCTGAAGAATTTTGCGATTTTCGTTTCATTATGAAAGTAGAATTCCACTTTTAGCCCTTACAGATTAATTCAATTTTACTCACACGTTTGTAATTGGAGACAGACATAAAGAGTGCTTATTTTCCCTCACAGTGTTGTGAGGGCTGGGGAAACCTCCTCCATGCACTATCGTGGTGGCTAGGGAAACAAATATTTCAAGGCTGACATCGATGGATTTTTGATTGACGGTGGATTCAGAAGCTATGTCAGGGGATCCGGTATGTGAGTTGACACGGGCAATGGGGAAATGGAAAAGGTGACTTATCAGATCAGTGATGATCTCCTTAACTGGTAGAGTGGGTTGAAAGCTCCGAAAAGGGTACGGCAAATCATGGTTTTTGTGTCCATGTGTTCTTTTTCAATTGTCCAAATACAACATTGCTCAATGTAACAATCTACACAGATTTTTGTTTGGTCATTGAGGTGCGAAATGTTTGGAGAATGCGTCCAATCAAAACCTGAACAGTGTGCAATGAAGTAAAGGTACATTCACTACATCCCAGGGGGCTATAGGACTGATGTCTCATCGGCGAGAGAGAGAGAAAGGAAGAGAGGGAGAGAGAACTGATGGTGGTTTAACCTCAGCGTCATGAAAGCCCAAAAAAGAGATAATTATAAGAGAGCGGGACCTTCAATCGAGAGCACAATCGAACCCGTCTGACTGGCATCACCCCCTTTCCAATCAAGTCAGGGATTTCACATTGAGGTTTTTGCCTCCTCTGCTGTTCACGCCAATGGACTTCAAAGTTGCTCATCCATCACCAATACATAAGGTTATTGACAAAGTAGATCGAGTAGAAGTGTCATAAAGCATTGAAATGGACGCTTCAGTCGAACTGGTCCACTCCAACGATGTCCCCAAATGCAACTAATCCCACTTGCCTGTGTTTGGCTCATATCCTTCCAGTCTATTCCTATTCATGTACTTATCAAAATATCTTTTAAAGTTGCAACAGTTCCAGAATCCATCGCTTCTTCTGGCAGTTCATTCCACAGACAAATCGCTCTCTGCGCAAAAATAGTTGCCTCCCATGTCCGTTTAAAACTTTCTCTTCTCATTCTAAAAGAGTGCCACCTAGGTTTGAACTCCGACATTCAAAGGAAAAGGCTTTTGCTTATCTACGTCCCCATGATTTAATAAACGTCCACTGGGTCACCACTGGATCTCGTAAAGCTGTTCAGCTTATTTTTATAACTTGAAACCAACAATCCAGGCAACATCCTGGTAAATATTTTCTGACCTCCCTTCAATGTAATAATATTCTTCCGAAGACAGGGCAACAGAACTGCATACAATACTACAGAAGTAGACTCACCAACGTGCTGTACATACTCAACATGACGTCCCAACTCCTACAGTGAAAGGTCAAAAGGTTGAGCAATGAAGACAAGTATTTTATTGGCCTGTGATGCAAATTTCAAGTAATTATACTCCTGACCCCCCAAGTCTCTCTGTTCCACATCACTACCCAGGGCACTATCATTAATAATATATGTATGCCGCTGTTTGTTTTACAAACTGCAGTACCTTGTATTAATCCAAATTAAACTTCATCTGTCACTCCTCTGCCCATTGACCCAATTGATCAAGATTTCTTTGTAATTTGATTCAACAGCAATTTGAT